CTGTTTACTTAATTGCTGAAGAGTAAAGTGGATTGTGAAAGGCAGGTTAGGATAACTGCTATTCTGCTAATGAGGGTAGAGATTGGCAGCTATTCTCTTTAATGAGAGTAAAATTGTTAACCTTGCATGAGAAGAAGAAAAGCTACAAACCTGTTGCAGTCTGTCTGTTTCATTTCTAATAAGTAGCTCAGGTGGTGGCAAACTACTTCAGGTTACCTAGTGTTTTCTAGGATCCTATTTTTGGTGGCTCTGATTTTGCCAAACGAAAGCACTGTAAGGAAAAATTGAAATTGTTCTATGTGAGCTTTTTGCTTAATACGTTTTAATTGTCCATTAAAAGGGAGATTATGCAAGAAACACTGGTTTGGCTATATAAAAAAAAATCTTAATTTGGTGAGATGTGAAGGGAGAGTGTGACAGTCATCTGGGATATCTCTTGCTGTTTTTAGGAAAATCAGCCTAAATTCAGTTAGCGTATGAATATTTACAAACCTATGTCTGCTCGTCTTGTTTTATATTTCCCCTCCTGCCTTTTAACCTTTACAATAAACAGGATCAGGGGAAACAAGGGAAAAATAATTTATAGTCATGGAATTGAAGACAGTTTGACAATACCAAATTCTGAAGATAGATCTAACTTTTGGGTGCTTTAGCAGCATCTCATAATTTTCATCTAACAAGAAATTTCTCATATATATTTTTGTGTGTGTATACACACACACACACACATATGCACATATTTATATGTATATATGGTGTCAGCGTGCTCTTGAATGAGAGAGACAGTATACCTAAATTTCTAGCAAATTTACTTGCTCCTTTTGCATAGTCATTATGGTACAATGTTTAATATGTCACATAAAATTTCTTAATCAATCGCCACATTATCAGTCAAGTTTTCAGCATCACCCAGTTGTGCTCAAGGCAGAAAATTTTATGAACTTATATTCTAAACAAAAAGAAATACTGAGAAAGTTTATAATGTTGCCTTTTAGCAAACTTACTTAGCCTTTAATTTATATTTAGATCTCTAAAAAATCTTTAAAATTGTATGCTATCTTTCTGTTTGAGAATTGGGTTTTCTGTAGGGAACATGTAAAATAAATCTGCAACAGTTTTTGTTTAAATTATGCAAAATCTTTCACAAAGATTAATTTTTTTTCAGTTTCTCATTTTTTTATCTTTTCCCCCGAAGTGTTTTGTCATTTTGCTAATTTATTGCATTATAAGTGATGAAGGATTTTTGTCAGATATATGCACAGCATTGGCATAAATTCCTCCATTTGGTAACTCTATGTGCTGAAGGTTGTAGAAACAATTCTGTGCTAGAGAAATATGTGACTGTGTAATAAAACGCTGTCATATAAAGTAGAAAAATAAGCATAACAATGACTGTGCATTTTTAGAGTATTATTTCATAAAATTTCATAGTGAGCTTCTTTAAACAAAAAAATACCTATTCTGTAATCTCTGTGTGGAGATTTATGTCTACACACACACACACACACACACAAAATATGTATATCTGACTCAGCAGATGGTCTAATACCTTATATATTCTCTGTTGCCTGGGGTACACATGATTCATAGAGCAAAAACTCTTTTGAAGCTTGGCCTAAGCTCAGTCATGGTGCTTATCTTTTCCCCTAGGCACAATCAAGGTCCTGTTCATATGCAGGGATCTTTAAAACAGTGAACTGGCAAAATTACAAAATATTTTTCTGCATGCTCAATCCATGTTTTTAAAAGGATTCTATCTCATCTAAATAACTGGTTTCCTTCTCTCCCCTCCATTTCCAGAGAGTCAAAAGTATTGCACTCTAATGAAGACCATTTTTCTGCTGGAGGACTAGAAAGTTGAGAGAAGCTGAGTACATAACTTCTCTAAGTGTGTTTGAGCAGCTGAAACTGCAGCTGTTAACTGTGATCAGGGCTCTACTAGAATTTGTAAATAAATCCGTATAAGTTTAGCAATTTTTTGTTTGTTTTACAGTGAAGAGTGATTTTTTTTTATTCAACTCATTTCAAAAGTAGATGAAATTTTTCTGAAAATTTTACTGTCAGGATGAAATCAATCCTGTAAAATGTCATACTGATGGATGAAACTTTTGAACAGTTGTGATCATCTGAAAACAGGAGACTGGAATGAAGTACTCTGCTGTCCATGTAGTTTAGATATAGTGCGGATAAGTCCGTGCTTTCTATTCCTACCTCGGTTCTGTTTGCACAACACATTTTTCAAAACATTGTTTGCACTTTACTTTCTGTAATTCATGATAACGACTACATATATGATAGATCAGTCCAGCAGAGGGCAAAGACGGACAAAATTCTGGTTCAGTGCTCACGGCTAAGCAAGATACTAGAAGTTATCTGTCTCAAATCCTTAAAAGACATTAAGCTGTTAGCCGACAGTCTCTTTCAGTGGATATTAGGCACCCAAATATCTTTAAAGACTGTGATTCTGCATTTAGGTAGCACCAGTTTCTTCTAAGCTAAACAAATTATAAGCTCAAATGCTAATGAAAGCCATGCCTATAGTCATCTGGTCCAGATTTTAATTTCTTTTCAAGTTTGGTTTTATGCTCGTTACATACTTCATGGTTAGAAAGCTAGAGAGGTCATTAGATTATTTAGTTGGAGCTTTCATAGAACGTAGGTTCTTAATGTCATCCTGTTATTTATATGTTGAGCTTGTATCTTCCCTATACCAAAAGCACAAATGGAATGTATAATTCATAGTGGTTTTTTGCAGAAGTATTTCTACTGGAGAATACTTTTATTCCTTTCAAATTTGCAATGTCATTTTATTTGAAGATCCCAATGGAGTCTTAGGCTTGTGTTATAGCTCTTAAAATAATGTAAAACAATTCTGACAGTGGTAAAAAGAAGACTCTTGGGTACCTAGCTTAGTTGTCTAATTTCTAAATAGCTTAAATGCTAAAGCCTGTGAAATAAATTACATATAGCTCAGATGAAAATGAACAAAGACTACTAGTTTTCCTGTGGGAAACAGTTTTAATTCAAAAAGAAAATGATAATTTTTTTGTAACTCTTGGCTAGGAATGTATTTGTTGGAAGAAGAGCTATTTATTCAGTGTTTTGAAAATGTAGTTTACTTAAGGGTCAGTAAGAAGTCAGCATACAGCAACTTTCTGTAAACGAACAGAAAGGCCACTGATTTAGCTCGCTGGGTTAGTAAAGGAAAGAATGTGAACCGAGTTCTTGCAAAATCCGGATTTGTCATAAAAAATGTATTTGTCCAAGATATAAGTTGTGCGGATTTCCTCCTCCCTCCCTGCCCCCTCCTCTGCCATGGGGTCAAAAAGGCTGGTTAGTCCGGAGGCATCACTGAAGATACTGAAAACTTGGCTTTCATGCCAAGGTTTCAAGGCTTCCCGAGCTTCATTTTTTGCTGGCTTTTTTCCTCCGGCTATGTATCTGGCAAAGCAGCTTTGTTCTGCTTTCCCAATATTGTAGTTTCGCTTTTTCATGGCTCTACGTTATAACATGGGAGACTAGTTAAGCTACTGGTTTTGGTCCATATTTTTCATTCAGACTTTCAAATTTCCTGCTTCTCCTGCTCCTGCTTGTAGACTAGGCAGCATCTGTACTGTGCTATAGCCAACCATTTACAGGGTGTCTCTGCTAGGCCGCCTTGAGACTTGTCAGGTCCTCCCCTGCTATGAAGAACGTCACAAGTCTTCCTTAACTGGGCTGGCAGCCAAACCCTACCTCGTGGCAGGGCCATCCCCAGCCCTTTTTACTGCCCCAGGAGCTGTGGAGCCACAGTTGTCTGCATAAAGGGAGAGTTATTCCTTCGACTTGTCCAGACCCTTCTGCAAGCCCCTATGTGAGCCTGTCCTCCCGAAGTGCTGAGCTTCCAAGCTGTAAGTTTCATTTGCTTGACAGCAAGCATCCGTGCCATTGTTATTACTTCTCTGTTTTGAAGTGGCATGTCTCACGCTTCAGCTTTTTTTCCCCTTTGCTTGCTGATTTGACTCTTAGACGATTAATTAAGGGCTGGGTTTTTGTTGTGTTTCTTTCTAGGGTGGCGGTGGGAGGGGGTTTCTCTTCATTGAGGTGAGCCTTCCTTCACTCACTTCAGCTGTCTGGGTAAGCGCTCTGCTTGCCACAGAACGCCTCCCAGGGAAGCGGTCCTTGGTTTCGACGACTGCTTTCCCAGTGTGCTCCGGAGCTTGTCTGGAACCGAGGAAGATCACCAAGACATTTGGACACAGGTCACAGAAAAAGCCATCACCTTACGGTATTAGGGCACTGATGATTTTAAGCAAAACTGCAAAACCACAATATGAAAAGCTCCATATCCCATTACAAGGCAACAACTGCTCTGGGACCAACTTCTCTTTTAGGGTCTGCTTACAGCTGTAGTTTTTGTCTTCCCAGATGACGCAGCTATCTGCTTCAAAGGGACAGTGAAGACTGAAAAAGAGGAAAGACCATGACTTTTTAACTCCTGCCTCTTAAGAAGCGTGTGCATGTGTGTGTTAGCTATGTTAAACACTTTATTCTAGATTACTCAAATCTGTTCCCTTGTCCTTTTAACCATATAACTCCAAAGAGGTACCTTAGGAGGGTTTTGTACTTTTCATACTGGATATTTTCAGTTTGGGGTTACATTCTGCTAACTTTTGAGTATTTTATCGAAATTAGTTACAGACCAAGAACTACTCAACCCTAATTACATGGAAGAGCACAGATCTGTCTTAAATATTTAGCCATGCATAAAAGGGTAAACCAGTATTATTTCTATCCATTCACCTTCAGACTGCATAGCAAATTGAAAGAGAAATAACTAACTGAAGAGAAATTACGAAGGGGCAGAAAGGAACAAGGAGTATGTTCCTGCGCCTTAATCTAAATACTTTGACTCTTATGAATATCAAATCTGAAAATGAAAAAGCCGTGTAAGTAAACCAGAGCCTTTGCATTGCTCCTTGGAAAGTTCCCTCACTAGCTATTGCTGTCCTTCCCGTCAGGATCTGTCACTGTGAGGGAGATGATGAAAGTCCCCTCATCACACCGTGTCGCTGCACAGGGACCCTACGCTTTGTTCACCAGGCCTGCCTGCACCAGTGGATTAAGAGCTCAGACACACGCTGTTGTGAACTCTGCAAGTACGACTTTATAATGGAGACCAAACTCAAACCTCTTCGGAAGGTATGGTACTATTGAATTTAGTTATACTAAAGTGTCAAATGGATGGAATGGCTGCACAAAGCACTGGCGTAGTTAAAGAAACATTTACATACCCAAAGCGGCTTTTTGTTTGCTATTGTTATATCAGTCCCAGTTATTTTCTACGTTTTAAGTTAATTGCTTTACAGCAGCAGAGGATTTGGACCACAGACTCTTCTTTCAGCATACATGCAATATAATTGCAGAAATAACAGTTTTTTCCTATTTAGAATTTTTCTCCTTCTTGCTAGTGGTTGATTCACTTATGTTTAAGCCAGATGGAAATCTTACATTTCGCTCCTGAATAACACAGGCCAGTTCACACAGCAGCTCTTACCTTGAGCCCATAGCTTCCGGCTGAGATGTGGAGATGGCAACTCTGAAGTAACACAATCAATTTAGCTGCATCTTTTCAAACTGTGACACTGGTGGGCAAATTAATCACTCATATATCAAGGTAAGTTAAGGGACTCTAAACTGCAGGGTGACTTAGCATCCTGAAAGTCAAATATATATTATTTGTGTTCAGCTATTTTCCAGAATAAATCAATTTAATGATACATGGATTGTCAGGAAAGGGAAGATGAAGAGTCTGTTAAACATGTGGGTTTTGTTTTCTTCGGAGTGAATAATTTCTTCTGTAATTTTTCTCTAAAAAAATCCTCTCATCCTGTTCAGATTTTGTTGCATCTTTTGAGTCAATTTAGAACGTGGCAAGTTTGGATTAAAATAAATTTCAATATGAGATCTCTTAAAAACCACGTTGAAATTATCAACTTATAAATAGTATATTTATTTCCTATGCGCATGCAGTAAGTTGTGTTTTGGTGGCAGAAGGCATTTTGTTTTTGTCAGCCTTGCACAGGTAGCAGCTCAGAGAAAGGAGAGCAAATGGCACTCCTTCTCATTTCTCATCCAGAGAAATTGTCCAGTAAGTCCCTGGTGATAAACCACTGTTGAAGAGAGAATTGAGATTGATTTGACATGCAAAGCCTATGACAGGAAGGGACACAGTTCTCAGGTCCTAGGTAGATCCTGCCAGATCGGCAACTGAAATAGAAGTAAATAAAAAATTGATGACTAAAAACTTAATTATATTGACTCTATTTTTAATAATTGCAGATAAATTTTAAATAATGTGCCAGGAAGGAGATAACTGTATAAAAACCTCCTGTCTGTAGCATATCTTTTGATTTTTTTTTTTGTATACGCGTTTCTGTTTTCAACACAAATTGCCTTAGCCTTCCACCTAACAAATACACTTGCAAGAACCATTTTCCCCAAGAGAATACACAGTTATCAGTAGTTAAACAGAAGAGTTATCCTGACTGCGTTAGATTATAGATTGTCTTTAAAAACATAGAAATAAAATTTATAGCATGCAAAGGGAAAAGGAATGAAAAATAGCAGCAGTAGTTACTTTTACTTGTCCCCTCCTCCCCCTTTTTTGAAAGAAATTAATGCAATATTGGCTGATTTAGAGTTGTAATGTAATTCTTGCAAGAAAGTTGTTCATTTCTTCACTGAATGATTAATACCTTATGAATTTGTTCAGCCACCTCTCATCGCATTGGTTCTCAGGTAGGATTTTGATTTCAGACACACCAAGGACGAGCCTTTTCTTTCAGAGAGGATATATTAGTTTCTATTCAAAGTTTTAGATTCTGCTCAAAGCTACCCAAATGTAGCTTATCTCTCACTAAAGTGACAGTAAAATGCTGACTGCATTCTCCCCTTCAGATGCATTGCTAACAAATATTTGTCTGCATAAAATGGGCCCAGCATCTAATTACAGATCCTGTCTTATAATTTGCACCCGTGTCAGAAACCAAAATTTGGAAACATTTTTTCAAATAAAGTTAAGAATCTCTTAAAATCAGGTATCTTATTTGCACTTACAGCTTTCAACTATGGCATCCTTCATGCTTTATGTTAAACTAAATGTGTCATCTCTACCACGTGTATGCATTATCATCTTCTTTTATTACAAATGTATGGAAGACTATCCTGGTAGGCAAAGCTGATTTGTAAACGAAGCCTTTTGAGAGCTGTTGCAAAGACAAGGTAAGGGAGGAAAGAAGGATCGTAAAGAGACCAGGCATGTAAGTACAGCTGTTTGGTAACTTTCCAACAAAACAGCTTTTATGAAAAGCATTAAAAGTGCTAGTTTGTTAAAACCTACAAATTTTGCAAAAACAGAAAGTTCCAATGGATCACTGTCAGTTGTCTTACTGGTTCTTTATGCAAGTTTTTACAGAGCCTGGAAGTCTGAAATCTCAGCTCTGGGGCATTCCCTAAGAGTTCAGGTTTTCTGAAGACTGCATAAAGAGTGGTTGCCAGAGACCGAAGTGCTGCAGGCCTGGGCAGCTCATAAAGCTGAAGTGCTCTACTATCCTTTCCCCTTGCTGCAGGATCTGAAAATCACTGCAGTCACTCTAGGATTTTCAGACTTAATTGAGGGTCTTAGGTTTGGTAATGCTCGGCTCTGTGCTAGACCCTGAGAGCCTTGACTGTCCAATCTAGCTCTGTAACAGTGAGTTAAAAATTCCTAAATCTCATAAGCAGGGAAGATGAGGAATTCTCTGGTCTTGGTGACAGGAACATTATGGGCAGCAGCAGGCAGCATCTGAAACTGATGCAGTTCTTGTCCACTTTTCATCTGCCTGCAACAGAAGATTGCAACAAAATTAGTACATTCCTGCAACAGGAAAGAATGTACTAATTTTAGTCATGAACTTTTGGCAGTTCTGAAAAACAGATTTAATTTCAGTGTTTCCTAAACAAAAGCCCACAGATTTATTTCCAACAAAAGCCTACATATTTAGTTCCATAAGAACTAGTGTTTTTTAATATAACCAGAAATTAATTTCCCTTACAATGAAAGTTTGGGGCCAGCTCCAACAAAAGATGCTGTATCCATGACCCTCAGACCTGGATTTGAAGTGGCATTCTACAAGTGAAAGGTCTCTCTTGACCAACTTTGATTTTTAATCTCTACCGTATTTATGATGCGAGATTGTGGAGTGTGGTTCTTGACTGTACTGCGTTTTATTATAATCAGTTTCATCGTAATACCTTTGGTAACATGCTAAATGCTGGTCTCCTGAAGGGGAAAATTACAGACCACGGAACTTGATTGCAGGTATCTCTACTCGTTTTTCCAGTATCACAAAAGCAGGATTTAACTATAAAACAACACTGTTTTAAATTGACTGGTGAATTATCTTTATGCATGCTTCAGCCTTTCATGCACCTTCAATATTTCCTAATTACTTCTATCAAAGTCTGGAGCTGTGTAACAAAATCATGCTTGGATTTTGTGTCCTACAGCTCATAGCACCATAATTGACAATGGGCAGCATACTAAGGTAACACGAATCAAGATACCTCTATTAAAAGCAATAGCCTCGTGTCAGTATGCACCGGTTATTTAATTTCAGAATCCCTGAAAGCACCAGACATCTGGTAAACCTTAATCATTTTAGTGAATCTTTGCACTGAAATAAGCTTTCTAAGTGATGGTCAACAGGCACTGCAAATGTTTTGTATATTTGAACAGGTTTAATTACTTGGCTAAATATGAATTTAGTGATTAAATATTAAGCGCTTCAGTTTGAAATATTGGATGTGTTGTCTAGTGTGTCTATTTTATTTCTCCGAGTCTCCGTTATGTCTGTTTATGCTTATAAAAGAAAATGGTTACATTTGTAGCTCTACCTTTCAGCATTTGCAATGCATAATGCAGAATTTCTTGTTTAGAAAGTGACAGTAAGTTTGTGTCAGTGTCCTGTTGAGCTCTAGCAGTAATAGCTTCACCCTGAGGAAAAGCAGTTCTTCTTTAAAAAGAACATAATCCTGATAAAGTGGCACCTGTATTTCATACCTCTTGAATCTGGTATTTGAAGCATGGAAGAAACAGGAACTGCATCAAAATATTGTGAGTATAAAATGGATGAAAGTGCTGAATTAAAAGGTGCTTGAAATAAAGAGATCTCTTCAAATGGAGATTTCTGCACTGTGTCTCACTGTACTTCAGATACTTTTCATATTGAAATTTTGCTGTCTTTTTAAGACTTCTGGTATCTTATAAGATATTTTCCTGTGATACGTTATCTCAAACAGATTATTCTGTGTTGTCAGATATGTCTGTTTTCTCTCCTGGTTTTGTTTTGCCCTCGAAATTATTTACAATTAATGTTTTATTTATAAGGCATAAGCAGTATTGTGCATTGTTACCATTTAGTTACTCTTATTAAGAATGAGCAAACCAACTTTTTATTTAGGGAAGCATTATGTACCAATTCAGACTTCTTTTTCTTTTTTCTTTTTCTTTTTTCTTTTTCTTTTTTCTTTTTCTTTTTTCTTTTTCTTTTTTCTTTTCTTTTCTTTTCGATTGAAAGGGTATCTGAACTTAACCCCTTTTAAAAATAGAGGATTGGAACTGTTCTTTTAGAACTGAGTGATAAGTTTGTGTTATATTAAACAGAAGGAAACCCAGTCTATCAGTACTGATAATCAGAGAAACCTGATCTTGTTTATTGTGAATGCGTACATATATCTCTTCTAAGTGTTTACTGCTCTTGTATTCTTATTTGTTTATATATTGATTAGTAACATGTCAAAATCTGATACAGGGTGCATCTCTTTGGGCTAGTGCATTTTACACCGTTGAACTCTTTGGGACGTCTTAGATACCCATCCGCTGTCATTAGAGGAGAAGGAAGGAATGCTCTCTATCAATTTGGTATCATTTGTTTTATAAATAACTAGCTTGTAATAAGTGAGATAAAGCGTCCATGCCAGCTCTAACTCCACTACAGCATTCATGGTATAAAGTCCCCGTTGAAGATATGTGGTTCCCCACCACTCAGAGTAGGGTATATTTAAGTCCTGGAGAGAAGTTATGGAACAGAATAACTCAAGTTTTATACTTTCCAAATGAAGCTAAACCCAGTTCAATCCCCTCAGTGCCCAATGTGGTT